TGAGCGCATGGTTCGAGGACTCAACTCTGTCATTGGCTCGTAGCGACTTTGACTGCTTTGACTCTGTCCCTCTGTTCGTAGAGAGTTTTGCTACTCCTCATATCTCTCGATCACAGATTGGGCTATTCCTTAGCTTGCTGGTTCTTTATCAGAATTCTTATGAGACATAATGCTTCACTTTTCGTATCCTCAAACACCAATGTCCCACTAGGCGTGCCAAATTATTTCGAGTGGGTTATCGCTAACAATTAAAAGAAATGTTCAAACGATTGTGTAAGAAACAAATCTTTTGAGACAAAATCCCAAAAAAGGGGTGCTTTATTTATGAAAATTACAATTGGAAAGAAGCAAAATGCCTCCAAGGGGTACAAACACATGAAGTAAATTGAAAGTTTGCAAATAGAAAGTAAATGAATTGAAATTACAAATTCTCTGTTGAGAGTGTTTGATTCGGGGTCTTTCCTTCTATGTCTTCTTTTCCTTTTTATACTCATTTGCCGGTTTTCTCTTATAAAACTGCTTGGAAACGACTTGGCGCTTTATAACTATCAACTTTCTTCGTGGTGGCTGACTTGTCAAGGAATCGTTGTTCGCAATTGTTGTTATTGCTCTTGTTGTTTAACAAGCTTGTAACTGAGATTTTTGGATCGTGGGGTGTTATAAGGTTGCTCAATAATCGCTTCAATAACTGGACTAAACGCCATATTCATTTAGACCTTGGGCGTCTCAAAGGCTTGGACGAGAGTGAGACTGTCGTTTTGAGCGACAATAGGGCACTTCATTCGCTCAGATCCTGGGAGTTCTGCAGGCTTGGGCGATGATAGTCCTCTCCTCGTGGGCTGTCACTATATTTTACAAAGGTCTTATTTTGGTCCATTCTTCAATTTTTCTAACTAGGCTCCATTTCTTAGACCAAATAATTGGGCCTTACTTAATAATTGGGCATCATTTAATCATTGGGCCTTATTTTTGTATGTTAACATCTCCATATCTTTGGAAGAGGGTATTGTAAATCCATTCACAAGCATTGATGAATGTCAAGGTTAGCCAGGCAAATGCCAGCATGACCAGGCTTGTTGGAGGAATCACAAAATTAATCGCAGTGGTTACCAGATCAATTTCTATAAGAATGAAAGAGATGTTGACGACGACGATGAATTGATAAGGAAAAGAAATAAATAAACTGGTTGAAGATTAGCCAGCTACATGTAGAAGAGGGTTGTGAAAATTGAACACGTGTTAGTGTACAGATGACGAATAGAGGAGTTCATTTTTTGGCACTTCTGTGTGAGGGATTGAATTGAATTGATGCAAACGCTAACATGACACGTTTATATTTGTTATAACGCAGAAGGGATATGATAGGATTACTTGTTTTAACTGCACCATCAAATTTAAGGATTATATAAAAATTTATTTGTACTTCATATTTTTAAATAAGTTAAATCAATAACCATATAAAATGACAAAATATTTTTTTTCATTTAAAAGCATAATAACATATATAGTACTTGGATATAAACTGTAATCTATAACAAGATATGTAATTAATAGAATGATAAAGATGAGACTGCGACGAAAAAACCTACTTATAAGTGCTACAATTAAAATGTGGTGTGTCAGATAATAATTATGAAGTGTGTATAAAAAAGTTGTTTAAAATCTAAATCAAGGTCAATAATTAATTTTCACCAATTCTTAACTTTTCAATCATACATTCAATCAACTTTTATTAAAATTTAATAAAAAAATTAATTTTTTATCTAAATGAAACATGAACATAATTACCCGGTGATAAAAGTATCCCTCTACCAAATTAATGAAGAGTAGTTATGAAATAATAATCGCTACATGTACATCACGTTTGATAACAAGTTTGACACTCGTCCATATGGTAGCAATTATACACCATAGATTTTAAAGGCATCCATCGCATATTAGCCCAAATCCCTTATACTTAGAGGGATGTCAATCAAGGATGTACATCTAACTTAATTCATGAAATAAAGACACATAGGGTAGGTGATAGTAATGAAATATTAGTGAATTAATCGACTTGTGCATTCATGGTTGATATCGTGTGAGGTGTAAAAATTGAGGTCGTTGATTATTTCAAGTGTTGTTAAAATCAATGATAAAATTATATATCATATCACTCAATGTCCAAAAAAACTGCCAAACATGAATGTATATCAAGCATAACTGAATACTAGTTGGGGTTAGGGATGGCAAAAAAGCTAGTCGGCTCGGGTTCGATTACATTGAGCCTCATTTTTTTGGCTGGACTTTGCTCGGCTTGGGCCCAAAAAAGCTCGAGCGAGCCCGAGCCTCGATTCGTTGGCACAGCTAGTTGGGGTCGAGTCAAATGATACAATGAAAATTACATGGAAGCCTACTTTTAAAAATTACATTTCAAAAATCAGATTTAAAATTTGTTTATACAAAAATTAGATAATAATATAATTTTTAAATATTAATAATAATCTTATAAATTTAGTTTAATCTATATAACCACTCCACCCCCACCCCCACCCCCCATCCAACCCAAACCCTAACTCTAATCGTAAATCATTTTTCATTTCTATTCTCTTTATATATTCTCTTCGTCGTCTCTCTTCTACTGTTGCCAAGAGACCCATCGTCGTCGCATAGTGGGCAATGACACAGAGCAACAACACCGCCGGAAGACACAACAGAAATGTCGAGCTCAGTGGGCGACGATAGCGTCGCTGCGTGAGATGTTGCTGTAGTAACTGTGCACGACACTTTGCTCGTCGTGCGACGCCTCGTGCATGACACACAAAGCTTGTAGTGGCGTCGCGGTTGTGCATTGCAGTCTGCTATGGATTTGATAAGGTAGTGGTGGCGACGACGGCAGTAGTTGTGGGTTTGAGGATTTTTTTGATGGGTGTGGTGGTTGCAATGTGATGGAGATGGTGGTTGTGATTTTTGGTACATGAGGTTGTGATGCTGCTTCTGCTAGTCGTGATGTTGATGGTAAGATGGTGGTGGCGGTGCGAGTGGTGGTGACAATGATGGTGATAGTGGTGATGGTGATGGTGATGGTGTTGGCGTTGGCACTAGTGGTGATTTTGTAGTTGAAAATGATGGTTTGTTGGTGGTGGGATGGTGGTTTTGAAATTGAAAATGGTAGTTTGTTGAAGGTAGTCCCAACGGTGGCACAACAACGACGGTGTTGCTGGGAAGTAGATAGCAATGCGACTAGAGGCATTGGTGAGGTGGTGGTCACAAATTATTTGGTTTATATTGACCAATAAATAATATATGATCTAAAAATTTGTTAATTTGTGATCAATAATTTGATAATTTTTTATCCTGTAATAAATTGCTACTTATAAAATTTGTGATTTGTAATCGATAAATAAATGGTATCCTATAATTTTTATTTTATTTTTAATCGATGAATTTTTTTTATCTATGATCGTGAAATAATTTGTGATCTATAAAAAAAATTTATTCGTGATCAAAAAATAAATTATGATTAATTAATTTGATAATTGTATAAAATTATGATCTTAATATATTTAATTAATTATTGAAAAAATTTAGGGAATCCAATTGACCCATCAGTAGGATATAGGCCTACCAAGCAGAACATATAAATTTTGAAGGAATCTGCTGGGTGTACAGAAAAAAAATAGATAGACAATCTACAGAATAGACACAATAGGTGAGGCCCTTTTTTCTTTGGACCATGCTATATGTACATAATTATTTATATAATATATTACATAATTGACATGTGGCGCGCATTCATCGACAGTCTGCAATTTTTTACTTTTCCACACTTCACATCAACAGTCAAATTTCTTCCACATGGACGTACAATAATTATGTACATATAAATGTATCCTTTTTGTTTCGACAATATTTAATTAAAATGGGGCCAGCCCATGTGAGGATATGTAATTTTCGTGTACAAATTTTTTCTGTACAAATTTTCCTATTAGGAACGGGCCCACCATACGTCATGCCTGAATGCGGTCCACGTGGCATTCTTGATCCCTCTTAATGCAAGGCACGTCTGCAAGGAGTTGATGGCGCTTCAACTCTTCATTCTCAAAAACTTCTCCATCAACAAAAATGGCCGATATGTTTTTACTTGCAACCATTTGTGTGCAAAAACCCATGTAAAAGGTACGTAAAAACATTCTCAACGAATGAAGAAATCTGTTTAAAGCTTCATAAGAAACGGTCACTCGCATTTCTAGCTCTCCGCGAGACCCGTAATTCTCTCTTTTCCCTTTTCGATCATCACTGCCTTTTTTTCCCAATCTGCGCTGACGTATCCACATTTTGGCACCTAATCTAAGCGTTTTATTTGGTTAATAATAGCTATGATTACATTTATTTCTTTCTGGAACCCAAAATGTTTCATTAGGAACCTCCAAACCATACCAGAACTCCTGCATCAATCCAAAAGGATGGCATCTATACACACATATTATATGCATTTTGTGTATATATCTTCTTATGCTTAAACTGTTAACCTTTCTTTTAATGCTGGATTCTGGTCTGGGCTTTTCATCGAGTTTTTGATAATTTCGTCCTTTTCACCTTCCAAAACCTTTCTGGTAGGAACATTTTTTCCATTAAAATAAAGATTCATATCTTAATTTTTGTAGTTGTTTATAGACCATCTGGAATGATTAGAAGGCTTTTATTTTGATTCGACCCTCTCTGAAAATTCTTCGAAGATTGGCCTTTTTGTCGCTAGAATTTTGGGATTGTTAGAGGAATTTTGTGATTCCCATTGACATCTGAGAAAATTCTAGCCTCAATATAAGTTCTGGGGATTTTGTGCTCTGGTTGGATTTGAATGGTGGAAAAGGACATGTGATCAAGATTCTTGTTAGCCTTAAGATTGACTGAATTGGGTTATTAAACGTCCTAAATCCCATTTGCCACGGATCATTTTAGAACTTCAAGTTTGGAACGCTAATTGTACACATCTCATTTTTCTGTCTTGTTTGCAAAGAATGGGCTGCATTTGCTCAAAAGGATCTAATGCTGACGATTATGTTGCTGAAAATGAGGTGGAAAAAGAAAAAGAGCTAAATAAATCTCCGGTAAAGATGGTTGCTCCACTGTGCAGAGAAAAGGTTATAGGAGGAGTAGTTGACAAACCTAGGACTGAAGGTTCTCTTCATTCACGATCTAAGATGACATCAGAATCAAATGAGAGCTCTTATAAGCCTGGAAATGTCGAGGAAAATGGAAAAACGCGAATTATTGAAAGGCCTAAGAATGGTCATCAGAGGTTTTCAACTCCGGACATGGGAGACTGTGGAACGCAACAAACAACGTCTAGGATTGTTAGTATGCCACATGGTGCCAAAGCCGAGCAGGTCTCTGCAGGATGGCCATCTTGGCTAGTTTCAGTTGCAGGAGAGGGCATCCGAGGCTGGGTTCCTCGAAGCGCTGAATCGTATGAAAAGCTAAATAAAGTGAGTTTTCTAGCCTTTTATGTTTTCCTTATTTCTGTTCAATATTAGTGGTCAATTTGTTATATTGATTTCAAAATGATTTCATCCTTATGCAGATTGGACAAGGAACTTACAGTAGTGTTTACAAAGCCCGTGACCTGACAAATGATAAAATCGTGGCAATGAAAAAAGTAAGATTTGTTAAGATGGACCCAGAGAGTGTTCGTTTCATGGCAAGGGAAATTCTTATTCTGCGGAAGTTAGACCATCCAAACATCATGAAACTTGAATCAATAGTGACATCAAGGATTTCGGGAAGCTTGTACCTTGTATTTGAATACATGGATCATGATCTTGCTGGACTTCTGGCCTCACCCAAGGTCAAATTTACAGAACCACAGGTAAATACTGCCGTCCTGGGTTCTTGAATTCACGGCCATCAATCATATTGTTATGAAACAGATCGCAAGATAATGACGATAATGAAATAAAGAAGAAAAAAACAAGAACACAAGAATTTACTTGAAAACCCAGTTAGAGAAAAAACCACGGGCAGAGGAGAACAATCCACTATAATTAATAGTTTTGTATTTACAATATCAAGATTTCAATCATCTCAATTGAAATCTAAACTCTCAATCTCTCAATACGTTGTTGAAGATGTAAAGAATAATATATGGATGTTATATTATGGAGATACAATGTGGCTATATATATAAAATATCTTATTTGAGTCCAAGATGGAGAAAAAATCCAAAATATGCCTTTAGCCATCCAAGAGTCATCCTTCAAGCCAAACTCTTAATTATCATTGAAACTTGATCTTCAACATATTAGAACTCTACAAACTCAGATACCCTAGACTTCCTCCAATAAACTAAATACCAAATTACATGGAATTTGAATCACACCACAACACATATAAATATTGGTATTCTCTCAGTAACTTAGCATCCATATGGATACAAATTTATAAATGACTTATAAATTCATTTAAAGTCAAATGTTAATTTCAACCACAAATTTATAACCACTACCCATTATTATTCATCCATTTCGTGGGATGCACTACTATTCTTCTCCATAAACCATTTATAAATTTTCCAAACGGAGGCTTAGGAATTGAATTTAGAGGAACTGCCTTCAGTTCAATTCTTGGGTATATATGTAAAGTCATGACCATATAGCTTCTCTCCTTATTCTAAAGGATAACCACAGTGCAAACAATTATTAAATTTTACTTCTTTGCTATTGTAGTGTCACCACAAAATCGAACAGGAGTAACACAGATTTTGTCTAGTCTTGTGTACAAGAATGAATAAGAAACTTGATCGTTTCTTAGAAGTTTTTATCCATCAGAAAAAATCAAAATTTGTAGAATAGTGGAAAATAAGTATTATTGTATTACATTAGTGATTGCACTTAGGTTAGACACGGTCACAAGTTTTTTGGTTTAACCATTTGGAGCTCAATAACATACTCAATGAAAAGAAAGTGCCCAAAATCAATAATTCGCCGTACAATAAGTTTTTTTTTTTTT